GACTGGCCCCAACACTGAGCCCTGGGAAAATGAGTACATATTGTGTATGAGCCCCTGTACACAACATTGCCACAGTGGTTAAACTGCTATTATTGAAGATGATTAAAAAAATGAGACAGCAGAGAACATGACAGGGTCTCCCCCTTTATACTGAAGGCCATGTTTCTCAGGTATGCGACAGCACAATTTATTCAATTTAGAACAAGGATGTAGTCAACCATAAAGTGCCACCTTCATATTTATAGTGTGTGTGTGTGTGTGTGTGTGTAACCACACACAAGCTAGTAAGGGTGGCCTGTATTTCAGTATGAAATTCTTTGGTGAGGTTAAGTGGAACTTTAAAAAAACAAAAAAACAAAAACAAAAAAAAAACCACAAAACAAAACCACACCACCAAAAAGATCCAAACACAACCAAAACCATACAAAAGCAAACACTACCTAACACACCTACACATACTAAAAGAAGTGTATCAATAAAGACAGCCAGGATCCTAAACAGTTTAAAACAAACAAACAAAAACCAGCCTAAGCAGATAACCCTTGACGAATATTACTATGAAAGAAGATCGCAACTATCAAAAAATGAGTGGGAAAATTCAAAGCCATTTCAGAAATGCCACAGTCCTCTGCAAGCACAAACTTTTTATACGATACGGTGCATGTCCCATGTATTTGTAGACTATAAATAAATATTAGGAAACTTGGGAAGACATCTTCTGGAATCCAAACTTAACTCCTCTGCTTTCAGAAATACAACCTTTATACTCTACTAGCAGTGCTAATGTGCTGCTCTCCAAGCTCAGTCAGGGAATTCAAGCTGTTACATTCCAGATCTGCACCTCCTTCATATTTGTATATAAACAATGCTGTAACTGCAACTAGCAACATACCTATAAGGCTGAATTTAGGCTTGGTGCATCCGAATGCATGAGCCAGAGGTCTTCCAGGAAACATTTCTCTAGTATCCTCCCCTATACATTCTTCAGCCTCTCTCAAAGAGCTCTGAACCATCAACACCAAAAGTAAGAAAATAGAAAGCAGAAGGATGGGGAAAAAAGCTACAAAAGCAAAGTTATCAAACCCATTCGAACTAAATGAAAATAAGGCTTCCCTCTTCCTGCAATTCATATACCTAAATGAAAATGTTGCGACTCAATTGCTTGAATGAGTCTAGTTTCCTTGCATATCAAACTATTGGGACACAGAATGGCAGGCATAATTCTCAAGAACCAGATGAGTGTGTCAATTGTTTTCCATTTTTAGAGTCAATCTTGTTCTTTTGACAGCTAAACTCTGAAAACAATGTCTGAAGTTATTTTTATTGTAATTGCACCTCCCCTCCCTTACAAGGTTCTGCAATTTCAGTAAAGTACAATAATGAAATACCAACATTGGCTTGAAAAGGCCAAGCTGTCTGAAGTTTTCTATTTATCTACAATAAGATACTGAAATCATTTGTAGGTCCTCTGAAAAGCTGTTTGCTTAATAACCATTGAAATTGTTATTTTTTTAAAGATACTTAACTAAACAGCGTGGGAGACAACGAGTAGAACTGGCAGAGTGTGCTAAAGGAAACCACTTGTCACCCTATCTGTGCCTTCCACATCCTCTGCTGCACAGTCTCAAAAGGGATTAAGCACCTAAGTCCAACATCAGAACTATAAGCACCAGTTGGAAGGCCCCTGAGAAACAAAAGGAAAACCCCAACTTTTCTTTTCTGTTCACCTATTTCATTCTTTCTCTTAGATACATCATTTTTTGTGAGAATCATCACTAAGTGCAGGTCTCACAATAATTAACAGGAAAAGAACAGATGAGAATGGAATCTCAGCCAGAAAGGAGACTCTCAGGTCTGACTCATCTGCGCTTCTATGCAGCTTCTGCTGGACAGTTGCAAATACTTATTTTTTTCTTTAAGGCATAATATCACTGAGGCAATAAAGGCCACCAGGCTGTTTGGCTGCAAACATTGGACTGCAAAAGAATAGCCAGAGAAATTATTATTCCCACTCCCTGGGACTCATGACACTGCATCCAGAATTCTTGTGTCCTCTTTTGAACTCCCCAGTATCAGATCTATTAACAAACTGGAGTGAGCCCAGAAGACAGCTACCGAGACAGTGATGAGACTGGAGCACACACAGTACAAGGAGAGTTGCGGGACCTGGATTTGTTCAGCCTGGAGAAGAAAAGGCTGAAGGTGGCAACCCTATTGCTGTCTACAACTACCTAATGGGAGGGTATAGAAGAGATGGAGTCAGAGAGTTCTTAGAGGTGCACAGTGATACAGCAAGAGACCATGGACAAGCTGCAAAAAGGGAAAGTCTGACTTGATATGGGGGGGGGGGGAAATTCACAACAAAGCTAAGTAAAACATTGGAACAGAGGCCCAGAGAGGCAGTAGAATCTCCATCCCAAAAGACTTTGAAATGCCAACTGGTCCACGCCTTGAGCAACCAAATCCAACTTTAAACACTACCAACTTTGAGCAGGAGTTCAGTTGACCTCCAAAAACTCCAGGCAAACAAGATTTTTCTACAATCCCATGACATTTTAGTAACAGACAGAAGATCTTTTCTTAGTCTCAATGCCAAGTTCCCTCTGAAGTCCTATTACCTGGAAAGGAAATCTAAAATGACAACTATTAGATCAATGACAAATACTCACCACCATATTGTAGGCATCAGGAACTTCAATTTCAAACTGAAACTTTCCACCTTGGTAATAGCCCTCATCTAGAAAAGAAAAAACAAGGAAAAGAGTTAAGAGAAAATAACGGACACCGTATAATACAAAATATCTGTCATTACAAAGATTAAAACAACAGCACAGGGTTATCATCAAATACTTAACCTAGTTATACCATAACACTAGCTGCCACCTAGGCCAAAAAGAGTGTGAACATAGTGTCTTCCTCCACTTCAAAAACCTTTATGGCAGAAATTTTAAGTCAGAAGATTCGACGGTCCCAGAATGACCCTGGAAAATCCACTTTCCTGAGCAGAGTACCAGGCAATAGCAAGATAGAGGAACCTTTGGCTGAATTTCTCATGTTTGTATGAACAAAATTCTGCCACGCGTCGGCCATATGGCATGCAGTACCACAACACTGACCCTTGGAATGAGCTGGATACCTGCTTCACTTGCTAATGCACGCTAAATCCTGCTCCAGGATTTAGTACATCTTCCCAGACTTGGGCTAGCAACCATATATCATGAGTAGTATGAATAATGGTGTGCAAAAGCACGCTCCAGAGTGTACTACAATAAAAGAGCAAGTTAGTTCTTTTATTGTAATTATCTTAGGATAATATATCAGTTAGGAAAATCTGCCTGCCTCTCTGTCAACCTCAGACTCAATACTGAATTATTAAAACACCTAAATTTTGAAATATGAAATCAGAAGATATCTAGTTGCATTTAACCAGAGATAATATAACAGGATAATAGTCAGCCTGCAACTCTTGAGATGGCTGAGCTTGGAAGCTGAAATGCTTGCAGGCAAACTGAAATGTGTCTGTCTGGCATTGCCATTATTGAATTTTTTCATTAAAAGAGGGAAACAGAAGGTATCCGGCCCACACTGGGGGTCTGGGACACCTGAGGAATGCTCAGGCTCAAACTCCCTCAAGTACTCTAGCTCTCTGTATCACACAGTACAGCTAGGGAGAAGGCTTGAAGGTCAGGAAGGCTGGTTATCATTGTATGACAGTATTTTTTTTAATATTTTTTTAAATGAACATTGTACAGAAAAGCTCTGTGAAGCAATCGACAGTTTACAGAGAGATTAAGAAGAGTTTTCTTATTATCTAGGTTGTTCCAAACCACAAAAATAAACTCGCTCCTCTACTATAGGTCATCTAAATCCTCTTTCAGGATTCTGTCTTCTGGACCAGCTGCCTTCCCAGTCCCTACACAGATCTAGCATGACCTTCTGTTTTCTCCTGCCAACCAATGCACCACATCCACTTGCTCAGGTTTCAGTCCACACCACAATCTCACCACCGTCAGCACAAGCCTGTAGCTTTCACGCTGTAATTGCCATGATTACAAGCCAGCAGTCAGCTCCTACCCTCCTCCTCTTTCCAATCTCTTATCAGCTGATTTACTGAAAAGGAGGGGGCATCACCCTGCTAAATAACACAAACCTTCAGTAGTGGAGGGAATTGAGCCAGTAAAAGCTGATGCTGACAAAGATGAGACTCAACTGCGTACTACACCCAGCGTGCCACTCCAAAAGTCCTGTACCTGCAGAACAGCAAAAGAGTTGCTGGGAAGTACATCACGGTCCAGCTTCTCCCAGGAGCTCATGTAGATCGCTGACAGGTTCAGCACAGGAACAGTATCAGAAATTTTGGACTGCAACAGCAGCATAGGCACAGTGTATGGCAACAGAACACAGCTGGTCTTCCCCACCCCACACAGCAATGTTTACGCTGCCTCCACACTGAATTGGGCAGCGCAAAGCTGCAAGCCTTAACCACTGCAAATCTCACTTTAATACCTGTCCAGAATATACACTTTTCAAATATATTCTCCATTTCCACTCCAATTCAATTTTGAAGTGTGTTTGATTTATTAAGCAGTCTTCTCAGGCACGCTACACTTTACAAGTAAATGCACATGCACTGATTTTTATGGAAAAAAGATAAAAGCATTTATCTTTTGTTTTCAAATATACGGACATAAAAATCAGTAGAGCAAGCCATTTCTAAAGAATGAGACGTAGAAGGTGAGTTACACTAATATCCCTTTGATGAAATTGCTCCCTGTCAAAAGTGCACAACACTCAAAGCAAGACTCCGACTGTTCCAGGAAGGAACAATTAGGGAAATGGTCCAATATCCCCCGGGACTTCAAACAGTTCAAGTACAACCAAGTTATGCTACAGGACACAGCTAACTGCACGTTATCCACCATCTAGCACATTATTAATAGCTTTTTAACCAAGTGTCAAGAATCCTCACTACTTCCAAGTACGATGCCATTCCTTGTAAAAACCACAGTCGAAACAATCTCAGGTCTTTCAGCAATAATACTAAACCAAACAAGCAACACCATGTAGGAATCCAGTGCTTGTTATAGTGCAAGCCACGTACCTCAAAGCCTTCTTCCACAGGCCGCCCCCGCTGCCCTTTGGCTCACAAGTACTTATCAAGCTATCAATTCCCAATATAAGCAACCACATGAAACACCCACGTGTGTTTGCACAGGGAGAAGCCTGCTGCCAGTACAGCAAGGCAAAGGAGAAACACCGACACTGTTAATGTTGCTCAGGAAGTCCAGCAGCAGAAAGTTATTTTCCTTGGCCTAATTTCACTAGTTCCTTGATTTTGTGGACTTGGAGTAAAGTGCGCAGCAGGTCTTTGTATTCCACCCCTGCTAATGTGAAATAAATGTCTGTTGATTGAGGTAGCTACATGTGCCTTATGTCAAAGAAAATCCTCAGATTTAATGAACCCTCACTGTAATACAACTGTCCAAAAGAAACATTCAAGAACAGCTCCAAGGAGGAGAGCTTGCCAAGAGACTGTCAGATTTCCGCCACTCAAGCAGCAAGAGAAAAGCCACGCTCCACATCTTTCTGCACACTGAAAACACCAGGCCCGCAGCCTCTGCAGCGTGCAGGAACGTTAAGGTAGGTCCTTCACTCCAAGTACAGACAGCCAGATCACTCTGACATTGCTCAAGAGATGCATGGGGTGGGGAAAAAAGCTGAACAGTTGATTTTCGTTTTCTCTGCTCTTCCCCACCATGCAGACCCAGCTCAGGATGGCTCCACTTCCAGTTAGCCATGGAAGAAACTCCCAGGGTCCACACACAGGATTAAATCAGACAAGGTGAGTTCAGCTGGAAGGGACAAGCCCAGCTGAGCCTGTCTCACTGTATAAAACCATCACCACAAAAAGAGTGCCAAGTTTCCTGCAGGATTACTGAGATGAACGGGTGCGCACAGGGGTTAAATTGTCATCAGTGTCAGCAGAAAAGAAGCGGCAGGACCAGATAGTGAAAGAACACCCCTTTTCCTTAGCAAAAACATGTTTTAGATTAGCTCAAGCACTTTCTAACCACATTTGAACACTTCCACAGGCTGTAAGAGATACCTCCTGTATTCATTCAGTTCTCTTATCTGTTTTTCCTCTGTTCTGTGTAAGGCTGAGGCATCTCTGAAAGACTTAGAGCACTTAACACATTGTGCCTCACACTACAGGTCACTTCCACAGACTTCCATGATCAAGTCTCCCTCAAAGACCATTCAATATTCATCACCGCCCTGCATTACAACTCATTTTATGTTTCAGGTTTACCTTGGCATCAATCCATGCTAGCACTAACCAAAAAATGCAACGGGTACACTACTGGCTCCGTTATAAAATAAGCAAGGACAAATTTCCAAATCAGAAGAGCGAAGTGTCTCTCCTCCCCCCTTTTTTACAGTTCTCTCTGTACGTTTGCAAATCTTTTCACTAAATAAAATAAACAATAAAGCATGCTACTCATCATCAATCACTCAAATGTATATTAAAAATTCCTATCTCTGGAGGGCCTCAGGACCCAGCCAGAAATCCTGCAATGCATTAATTAACAAGACAAATCTTCACGATGAAGTCATCTTACAGCATCTCAAGCAAATAAATAGGTTCTCCCGCATGATAGTTTCCTTCCCTGTGTCCCACAACACCCATACAGATTGGGACAAAGACCCTTAATTTTTCGACATGTAACAATGGTGGGAAAAACTGAAGTTCTGGCAGAGTTAATAGTGAGGAAAGTGCTATAAATAAAACAGTCAAAACAGCTTTAGCACATAACTTCCGAAGTTGGCCACTGGTGAGACTTTTGCGAAAAGGGAATACGTCTGAGCTCCAGTTTTCCTCCTACTACTTAAATTTATGGCTTCGAGCTGTATTAACAGAGCAAGCATCCCTCCCACTTCAGTCTCAAGTTTCACTATCAACAACCTGACTCTAATTTTAGTTTGCATTTGTAAGGTGTTCTCATGGCTAAAAGTGCTGTGAAAATGCTAAACCAAATCATTTTATCACTTTAAAAGAAAATGCAAGATAATTAGGACAGGCCACAAAGGATATGCTTTCGATAGTAGCTCCTTGAATCAGCAGCATTGAAATGCTCAGCCATGCTCACTGACATTTGTCATTTTATGGCACGCAAAACAAAAAACAGGCTCTTTATTAATTCCCTGATGAATGGGACTCTAAAATAACCACACTAACCCCAGACTACCCCAATTGTCTGGGAACTGCAGGAAAACTGCATTAACTACACATATTCTCTAGCTTTCTTCATGTGTAAGCTACCTAAACTCAACTTTTTTTTTTTCCAGGTCATTACCATGTTTTAGTCTCAGCTTCCAATTTTGTGCTCCAAATATCAGTGCAGCAGGCAGGACTCTGCCTGCATTATAAGCATCTACCTCCTTATTTTTCCTAGCTTTTGAACCAATATGGTACTGGTACAAAAATAAGAACAGAGGGAAGTCGTGGCATAAGGGCATTTTTCAATGACAGAACAATTGTTTCAGATGACAAAATGAAAAAGAAGCTTCTGAGAGCAGAGAAAGCCAGCAGTATCTGCCTCGGGAACACATAGTTTGTCCACTGTGGCAGTAAAATCTAAGTCTTACCCATTTTCTAGCATGTGCTACTATATATGCACTCACGGTGCACTGCAGAAAGCTATAATATAGGAACCGGAATTTCTTGAATTACGTGAAATAAGCAGTCACGCTCATCAAGATTTTCTACAAATTTATTTTAATTTAAAAGCTTACTGTCACAGGATCATTTTGTGACATTAAGTACTTACTAAGAAAGGTCATTAGGAGAAATGCAGAGCAAGGGAACTGAAAGTATTTCTGCTTGGCGGTAAAGTTTATTTTCTTGTTCAAATTAGTCTTTTTGTGAGAACCTAAAGAAGTTTCTTCCACTGTCCTTTCAAGACCAGTCACATTCAAAATGACTGCGTAAAACAAAGCACCTGAGAACAGGCTTTGTCAATAACATAAGGTTAGAACACTGACCGCAAAAGGCATTTCTACGGTTAAAAAACATGTTCAGTCAGTATCTTCAAGGTATTCTGACTGCTGGCTACTTTCAGAAACTGTCTTGATGTAAGTTTCCTTGTAAAATGTGGTTACAGAATTCAAGCTCTAACATTAATCAGACTATAAGAGAACTTAAACATAAAATAGGAATATAAAATAATTAGCACCCCTTTACCAGATCTGTCATAGAAGGATGCAGTCTCTGTAACTGCAGACAAGCAAACCGAGCGCCTTAAGCAGCGAGCCAGCAAGAACCTCTCTGCTGTGCAGACTACCAACCCTGGCTTACGCACACTTACTATGTAGGGCCGAACAGTGAGAGCTCCAGGGTGGCTTTAGATATTCCTCGGCACCCACAGCTGCACTGAGCTCAGCTCTTGTTCCACAACTGGAAAGCTGCAGAGATATTTGCAAAGCACTCTCTTAAGAGCCAGATGTACGACTAGGATTTCTAGAAGTAACTCGGCTCCCCAGTGCGAGAGACTGTTCTAGGCAGGAGAGGAAAATTGTCTCTTCCTCCAGACTGTCAAGATTCATGCAACGTTGTTTAGACACTACAAAAATAGTTGCCTCAAGCAAAGATTTTGGCCCATTTGAGCCAGAAAAATTCCGTGACAACCACTTAGCTGCCTCTCTACTATCCCAGAGAAAGTTAAGATTTAGCATACTCTAAAGAAAAACCTCAATAATGAAGGTGAACAGAAAGCTACAAAGATTTTTCTTGGTATGTGTTACGTTCTGCCTTTAGAGAGCTGTGCTAAGCTGTAGCTGATCACAAGATTCTGTACCTGAATTATGCACAGCTGAAAATAGATGTTTACTTCGGTCAAACTGCAACTGCAGAGACTTCAGCTGTGCAGCTATATTTAGACTAACAAAATGTTAATTAAGATCATCTCATTCCCAAGATCATTTCAGTAATGAAGCTAGCACAAAAACCACGCTCTGCATTCAACAGCCCTCTTCCGACTGCAACACCTTGCTGCACAGCAGTTGACAAAAAAATTACCATGTATTTAGACACCTTAGAATTAGTATGAAGAAGCTACCATTGCTTCACATTTCAAGACATCCCTAACTCGCACACTTGAAAAGCCAACTCATTTCCAAAATACAGTAAAGCAGCATCATGTAAACTGAAGGACATTTGGTGCAAGCAGACTTAACACTCACCAACTAAACATCTCCTACACCGAATGAGACGTTTAAAGTTCTGTACTAGCACTTGCATTTATCTTTGATTATACCGACTAGGTCAGTCTTACTCATTTTTCCATCACAAAAAAGGAGTCACATGAATGGACATGTTAACAAAGACCACCCAAGACTTCGACTTCCGAGGAAGTGCTAGTTGGATTTTGGCTAATGAGCAGCAGCAGTGACATCTAGTGCCCGTTTCACTTCAACATACCGGGTTATCAGAAACACTCCTATCACCCTGTTAAGTGTAAGCCATTATTTCTATAGGTAACACACCAGGATGACGGCCATACTGCATCAGAATTCCATTGTCAGTAAGCATCTACAAGAATTAGTTGGCAGGGAGACAGTGATCCCAGCACATCTAACTCAAACAATTCAGTGTACTGCACGAGTCAATGTTCTCATTTAAGTAGTTGCACAGAGTCTCAAAGGTAACATGCAGCAAAAACAAGAAGTGCGTTTGAAGTTTAAATAATCTTCCATGCAAATTCATCCATAAAACAAACACAGCTTTCTATTCTAAAATGGACAGCTATGTGAGCAAACTCTAATTTCAGATGGCTATTAGGAAATTTATGTGGATATGATAAATTCTGAAAATGTTTTTATTGAACAGTGTGCCAGCAGAAGCTTCACAGTGTACTTAAGCTGTACTTATAATAAAAGATCTAATTTCCACATACTCGAACATTCAAAGACTAAGAGACTCCTACTTGTTAAGCATCTTCAGACATGCATAGATTTTAAGTTTTTCAGCAGTGTTGTATCTGTCATCTATCTCTTCACCTCTGCAGAATCAAGCAATCAGTAGAAACAAACAAATTCGCAACCTAACAGGGCTGTAATACAATAATTTCTCTAGATGTAGTCCAAGATTTTTCTCAGCAAATAAAACAAGGTGGTTTGAAGTTGGCTGAGAGAAAAAAATGTTTTCAAAGTGAGCAAACAAAACCTGAATATTTCCTAAACCTGCTCAATTTTTATGGCCTTTTTATTGGAATCTAGTTCTCAAAATCCCACTCAGTTTCTCCATCACCTCTATAAAATAATCACTGTATTACAGCCAGTCTTTCTTTGACTATAAAGTTTACTGGATTCTTCAGCAAACTCTTGGAATTACATTTCCTAAACACTAACACACACAGAGAAACAAAAGTAACATGTTTAAAAAAAATTACCTGGGATTACAGTTAGCTGAAAGTAATGAAGCTTGTTTGGGTCGGGAAAATTCACTTTACACGTACCTGTGAAGCAAAAGAGTAATTTACATCAGACAATTGGTTTTCCACTGTTGGGAAAGCAAGTGTGTCATGTCTCATACTCTCCAAATTCACTCCCTGATTAATCCCTAACTTCCAGTCAAGCGATTTCCTCCTGCACTTTGTCTCTAAGCACTTCCTCACCTGCAGTAACGGAATTTGACTTCTTTGAGCTGTGAGGAAGAAGCTTATTGCTTATTTCCTTTCAGGAAACCATGCTGCCTCAGACCTTAAAATGCCAAAGGATTTGGTCTTCTGCATAGACAGTAGCTGCATGTTAAGTCGACGGCATACCGAATGAGCATCTCTTCCTTACAAGTTCCTTAACTGTAACATGTGTATCTTAACGTTTGATCATACGCTGCAGTCTGCAAGAAGTCGTGCCACCACAGCCCTATGCTAACAAAGGATTATTTATACCTGTAAGGTAAAATGAGACACAAGCTTTACTGAAAGCCTCATCCAAAAGCCAGTGTAGTCTCCGTTCAGCTGTCGTATTGAATAAGTTTCTGCTGCGTGACCAATTACGTGCATTAACAGCAGAGGTTATGAAGCATCATTACAAACCAAACACTATGTTTTTATTCTCAGACTAGACAAATCCAAGGAGAGTAATGAGAATGAAGAACAAGTGTGGGGGGAAAAAAAAAAAAGACGAAACATCAATCTGATGAAACTAGTCAGTGGATTCAGTTCAATAGATGCAAGTTCACAGCATAACAGGCCTTTGTTTGCACTTGACACAAACCAAGTTGCCTTCCCATGCACAAAACTGGCCTTTCTTGACTAGGACAGGGACAAGCTGCCAAGCTGGCACTAGAAGATGCCTATACCCATGGATACATTATTATCCATATTATGCAGCCTTTAGCTTCTTAACCCATCAAGCTAGCTGTTATTTTTCTGTAGTCAAGGAGCTAAACAGTATCAGAGATACAGATCTTATTTGCCTGAAAAAAAATAACTAGAAGCGTACACAAACCCTAGTAATGCATTTGCATCGTAGTAACTACAAACCCTGACACATGTTTCTCAGGTGTTTGTTATCCTACAGCAGAGTCTACACAGTAGTTTAAAAGTCAAAATTACTCTGTGTAAAATCTCTATAATTGCCTTTAAGAAAGAAGTGCAAACAGAAAGGAAGAGTTAAATAACGTCTCTTCCTGCCCTCCTTTTTTTGCTGCTTCTGCTCTGTATTTATTCCCCCTTGTAATTCCTCCCATCAGGCAGTCCGTACACTGAAAAGCCTCATTTTTAAGGTCTGAGCATTGATCTGGATTTAGAATCATTAGCAAATAGAAGATGCTCATCAGAAGCAGCACTCAGAAGTTTAACCTAGAGAAAAAAACAATATGGTCAAAGCTACCCTTAGATACGAAAAGACTAGAAACATCACGAGCTACCTGCCAGCATAATCAGAGAGAATATTCACTGCTTTTCTTTGCAAGATAAGCATATGGACAAAACAGTGTGAATGCACAGCACAGTAATAGCCTGCACGTACACTCGCAGTCTGCTGCAAG